AAAAAAAAAAAAAAAATCACATGAACAGCCAAAAAAACAAACCAAACAGAACAAATACCACCTCACACACCCACACATTTATTCTGAGAACATCTTTCTCTGCCCTTAATTTTTTTTTTTCCATTAACACCACATTCAGTATGTGACATTTACATGGCATCAGACTTTCATACAGATGTTCCTTTATTACCTTGTGCCAGCCCTTCAAAGGCCATTTTCTTTTTTTCAGCAAGCAGCCTTCCTGTTTCTGTGGCTCCTGGGTACAATTCATTGCTCCCCGGAGTCCTTCTACAATTTCCCAGCTGTCCTGCTTAAACAGAAAATAGAGATCTAGATCTTGTTTCTTCCAACTAATGGAATTGTTAAGACAGATCCAAGATGAGTAAAAAGGCAAATTACAGGGTTTCCATCATTAATAACAACTTTCTCAGCACCTCATTACCTGTGTGTCTACAGTAATAAAGGTAAGAAACTGTAAATAATAAAAATGTAATAGTAAAATAAACACGTGATGATAAAATAGAAAAGGCTTATTTAATAAGTCATCTAAGATCAACATTTTTTTTATTAGATAAGAAATCAAAAGACTGAAAAAATACTGCATTAGAGTTATGCTGTGAAGAAGCACACAACATCCATGACCTGGATGAAAGGATAGAGAGCACCCTCAGCAAGTTTGCCAATGATACAAAGGCAGAAGTGGCTGACGCACCAGAAGGCTGTGCTGTCATTCAGCAAGACCTGGATGGGTTGGAGAGTTAGATGGAGAGGAACCTTATGAAGTTCAAAAAGGGGAAATGTGGAGTCCTACACTGAGGAGGAATAATTGCACGCATCCGTACAGGTTTAAAAGCTGATTTGCTAGAAAGGAGCTCTGTGGAGAAGAACCAGGGTGTTCTGTTGGCACAGGTTGACTAAGAACCAGCAGCATGCTCCTATGAGCAGTACAGTTGATACAACAGAAGGAAAAGAATCTCCAGAAGGATCTGAACTGACTTGAAAAGTGGATTCATGTGAACTTAACGGGGTTCACAAGGCCAAAAACAAGGTGTTGTGCTTGGGCCAGGGCTATCCCAGACACGTACGGGCCTGGAGAAGAATTCATTGAGAAGAATCATGCAGAGAAAGACTTGGAGGATATGGAACAAAAAGCTGGACATGAACCAGCAGTATGCTTTTGTAGACAGGAAGACCAACCGTATTCTGTGCTGCATCACAAGGGTTAGGGTTAGTGAGGAAAGGGAATTGATTGTTCCAATCTGCTGTGCCCTTACAAGGTCCTGTCTAGAGTACTGTGTCCAAGCCTGGGGTCCCCAGCTCAGGAAATGTGCAGAGCTGCTGGAGTGGGTTCAGAGGAGGGCCGCAAAGATGATAAAAGAGCCAGGCTGGGTGAGGCCCTGGGCAGCCTGATCTAGTGGGTAGCAACCCTATCCACAGGCAGGGGGTTGGAACTAAATGATCTTTAAGTTTCCTTCCAACTTGTCATTCTACAATTTACCTATACATATCTATACATGTATATACATGTGTGTATATACATCCAAAGCCTGATCACAATTTACCATAAAAAGATTTCTGCTGTCACGTGTAGAAACAGCCTATGCTAAAAAAGATGTATTTGCAGATTATGAAAAAGAAATAAAAGACTCTGAAGACTATAGCACATTTTTGTCTATACTAGATTACTCAAAGACCTGTATTTTCTTACAAACTGCAGCCTTCCTAGAAAAAAATAAAAAAGAAACAAAAAGCTAAGAACCTATCTAACTGTCTGAAATATTATGAGGAATGTGATGAGAAGGAAAGAGTATAAGAAAAATATTCCCCCAGTTTAATCATGTACATCTCTAGTTAAAAGAGTGTCTCTTGCCATCAGCAAGTCTTTTATGAAATATTCTGCAACAACCTAGCAGAAAAGAGATAGTATTCTTTACAATTTTTTTTTTGTTGTTGAAAAACAGCTAATGACCACATAACACAAATTTCAAGATTTCTGATCAGAAACCTCACGAATGATTTATCACCAGCTATCATGGGACTTCACAGATCCATAATTAGTAAAAACTGTCAGAAAATTTAATGTGCTTGTATCATTGCTACATATATGAAAAAGAGGAATACTGTAACTGTAGGATTTAACAATATGAAAGACCACTGTAAAACACTTAGGTGAGAACAGAATACTACACAAGTGAGTACCCATGGTCCTTTTCATTTAAGCTAAAATGAAGTATTCCCTCTTCCCCTTCCCAGATTTGACTGGCTCAAAAATTTTAAAACAAAAATTAACAAAGGCACTAGATGTGCTCATTTAACCATCTCCAGGATCATTCAAATTCAGCCAAAAAAAAAACAAACAAAAAACCCAACAGAAGTTACATCACATTATGCATGCCTATTACTGGAGTAAAAAGACAAAGTGGCAAATCATCTTCAAAAAGACATTCATTAAACAGCTTAAGCAACACAATCTCTTATTCCAAGATGTTACTGGCAGAACTCCACTATTTTGTTATTATCTTCCTTGCATTGCACTTTATGGAACAAACTACAGAGCTGGTCAGCTCTCATCATTCAACGCTCTACAGATCACCCAGTGATCACAGAACTACAGAATCACCAAGATTGGAAAAGACATCCAAGATCATCCAAGTCCAACTGTTCACCTACCATCAATATCTCCCACTAAACGATGTTCCCCAGTACAACATCTAAAAACCTTTGGGTTGGTGACTCTACCACTATACTGGGCAGCCTACTCCAGCATCTGACCACTCCTTCAGAGAACCAATCTAAATCTCCCCAGCACAACTTGAGACCATTTCCTCTAGTCCACTAGTTACACAGGAGAAGCTGGCTCCCATCTCATCACAACCTCCCTTTTGGTAGCTGTAGAGAGCAATACAGTTTCCCTAAGCCTCCTCTTCTCCAGACCTGCCCCCTGAACGTAAGTCAAAACTGCAGTCACTCTAAATGAAGTTATTATAGCATGCATTTTATACTTCTTTAATTTCTCCAATCTAGAATATTTTGACAGCTAGTTAAATATCATGATTTCATGACTACTATATAGAAATAATATTTTTCCTAGGGAAACCAAAAGTTATGCTCCATATTCTTTATTCATTTTTGTCAACTTGGAATTTACTTAGGAATCTGAATAATCGTGGATTCTCCCTTGCCTAGGGATGAATTATCATCAGGTCAGGGAAGAGACACAAGGAGTTAATGTGCTGAAGGCAGGCAGAAGGCTCCCTGGGCTGTTGCCAGCATATCAGCTCATCACTAACCACAGCAGTGCACACTCTGCTGCAAGACACCAGCAAAGTGAGTCTTTTGTGGGGTGAAGCCATCAGAGAATGAAGCAGAACCAGCTTGTGCCCTTATAATGACAGTTAGCTGCAGCTTGCTAGCTGCAGCTTGACAGCTATGGAAGTACAAAGGCAGCTATAAGCCTCCACAATTAGGGTTTTTTTTTTCTTTTTTGACAGAGCCTTTCAACCTTGAAAGCAAAAAAGAAATGATATTCCACCAACTCTTTTACTGTAAATGGAAATGCTTGGCGACCAAATGCTTTCTACAGTGAGTTTGGAATTCTTTTCCTAGTTAAAGATTATTTAATTAACACTTTTATAATTACTAGCATTAGGAGTCTATGATGCCTAAGCAGCCTCTTAAAATATCAAGTATAGTGCTATGCTACAATTTATATCATCAATAACTACTGAACTTACTGCTACTCCCTATCCACAGGTGGATAAAATTACCCCGCCTTAGGAAATATGTTCTGCAAATGAGCCAATAAAAAAACCAATACTGACATGAGACTTTTCAAACTGAGGACTCGACAAGAGGTAAACACTAAAAAGTAATGAAAGCTGATGAAACAAGTGAAAGATTATTCTAATTAAGAACTAACAGGAACATTTAGAACATTAAGAATAATATCATGTTCACAGTTGTTTCTTCCTTCTTGAAATTAGCCAGAAGAGTTTAAAAACTGTATTACATGATTACCAAGTTACTTCCACTGCCTTATTCAAAATATATTACACTGCAGTATACAAACAATTTTTCTATTGAAAACCAACCTGATAGCAGTCAAGACTAGCAAGCAGTAGGACCTTTTCAGTATTCTTATTGTTATGCCTAACGAATCACATTTCTTGAACTTTGGATCCAGTTCTCAAAGTCTTTGCTTAAGATTAAACACAGCATATTGTTAACAGAGCAGTCTACTTGCAGGAGACAAGAACAAACTTGAGTACAGTCAAAAAAGCAATAATCCAGATTCACTTTTTTTATAGGGATAAATTTGGGAAAAAAGAGACTGCTGAAATTAGATCCATTTTACATTGGGCACGAGGTGAAGACAAAGAAAGCAACTGAGAAATAGAAGAGCTGTAGTACTCCCATCTGGAATACATGCTGTGTCAATAATCAAATATAAAGCATATTCCTGACCTGTATTTTAAATAAGGTTTAGTTTGGGCAGCTTCTGCAGTCCAGGCATAAGAGGTTTCTCCTGTTCCTGAAGAAGATCCACATTTCTCACTGTTTCTACCAGTCAGCAAGCTGGTCAAAAAATGCTTTACAATGAAAAAGTGTGAAAACAAAGAAAAACAGAAATAGGAGCACCATTTCCCTTTGATTAGGACCAACAGCTGGCCAAATCTCAGGTGATGGCAAGGTTCCTACTCACATTTCTGTTAATCTGCAAACCTCACAATTCAATCGCAAACTTTACATTAAAAGGTAGATTTAGCTGAACTGGAAATAGGTCCAGAACTTTTAAAAGCACAGGACTATATAATCAACTTTATTACCCGAGGAAATGCAATGAATATTTCAGAGAATTAACAGCTTGGAAAACTACTGGATAACTACTAGACTCAACACTGCAGTAACAGCAAGCGCTTGGTTCTGTTGGCATCTTCTGGCTAAAGCCTTTCCCACCCAAACCTCTAACTCCCACAGTTCCAAAACATTGCACTATGACTTTTTTTTTTTTTTAAAGATCTGTTCAGAACCTAAACCCTACCAGAGTTTTCATCAGTATTTAATTCTTCAGGATATCTGATACCACATTTAATGAGTAAAAAGCATCAGCTGCTGCAGAAGAAAAAACCAAACAACTGCTTACTCTAAAATGAAGACAAATTAATCAAACTGGTTGGTTATTATCTGCTCCCATCTGTCTGAAATATCTGAGGAGCAAATTGGAAATTCAGGATTTCCTGAAAGGTACCGAGAGTATTCAGATTATGATTTATTTTGATTCATATCACACATAGGGAACTGGAAAAG